CACCAGACTGAATAAATGACGAATAAAAGTGACATAGAAGCAACTTACGTTTTGACAGCTTTGTTTCTTGAGGCTAGTGGATGAAATCAAATACCACCGTTAGCAGCAAACACAGAAATAAAGAACTTTTGTTTTCTTCGAAAGGTTTCAATTTAGGTTGTTGGAAAAACAAAATGACGCCAAACTTCCGATTTGTCGGCAGCATTTTAGTAGAACAGATACGTACACTTGGTACTTTGGGTTAACAAATTAACAACTTGAGAGCGAAGAGGTAGTCGCGAAGCTTACTGATGATGTGACCAACCATTTCCTTTGAGAAAGTCATGTAAGACAGTCATTTTACTCGGATTTATTGCAGCGTAATTTTATGATCCTTTAAGTATAATTTTCTCCAGAACCATTCGGTTTTACAAGGCAGCATAACATTGAAGTCCACGACACTTTAGAATTAGAGGGTGTAATTTATTTCTTCGCCACAACTCGGTTTATCTTCCCTTTTTTTTAGTTATTTACCATTATTAATGTTTTCATTCTTTATTTTTTCACCTTCTTTCACTACTCTTACTAACATTTAGTTTTTTTGCCAATTACATTCATATACATCTCTAGAATTGTTGGTGAATCATGACTGAGTGATATGTTAATCAAGCCTGCCCCTAAATTACCTTGATAATAGAGATGGCTTAAAGTCAAGTTGAGTTTGAAGGAAAATGCAAATAAAGTCCGAGTACCTATTTGATGTTGTTTTTTTCGAAGCAGTATCAAAACCACAGCGAGGATGATCATGACTATAAACAAAAATGCTGATAAAATAGCGATTGCCAGATAATGGGAAAAGCAGTTGGTGTCTTTCTTGAGGTCATCGACCTTCGTCACTACTGGAAATGTGGTCGTCGGGGAAGTTTGAACCGTCCACAAAGCTTAAAGAAATAAAAGTCGAGCTGATAATTAGGTTGACCTTACTGAAACAGGATAACACATGGAAAGAAATGGAAAGAGAGAGGGCTGCTTGAAAGTCTCGCATAGGGATTCCCTTAAGGTCATATCTCTGTAGAACTTAAAAAATTAAAAAGCTTTTCCCTATGAATAAGAAACCGCGGCTGAACTTTCTTTGTTGATTTCGCCGTAGTAGGAGTGAGGTCAGTTTTTCTAAGTCCCTGGATATAATGCGTTTAGAGTACTTAATCTTTAAGGTCTTTTTGGGTTTTTTTTTTTTGGGGGGGGGGGGGGGGGGTTTTCTCGAAGCGTCTACATACATATCCTTAAAAGTGCTTCTGGCGGATATAACTGAATACTTAACCAAGTGACCAATCTTTAAACTAACAAATGAACACAATATGGATATTGCTCGTCTACATATCTTAAAAATCAACAATCGATACATGATCGATTGTTATCTTACCTGATAAAGTACTGCTTTTATGTTCAGATGATGTTTTGCCTTGTGTAGTCACAGCTTTTGTCCCAGCTGATGTTTTAGGAGGACTTGTGCTTGTTGGAACAGGATGGATGAAGCAAATCCCTTGACAGGTGGCTGTTAAAGAAACATAACTACTGTCCCTACAACTATACATTTCTCGAGTGATATCCCGATGCTCACTCTAGAGAAGTGTACTGTTTCTCAAGCTAACTCAATACCTCGAATGAGTTAAAAAGTTTCTATGTCACGTCCCTA